AGGTAAAATACAACTAAATATAAAAGCTTAACCTGGAAATGGCCTTTTGGGTCAACTTAAAAGGACATGCCAGAAACCCTGTTTGGACTGCAAAGAAAGATACTCAGAAATAGAGGTCGACCGATATATCGGTCGGCCGATATATCGGGCCGATATTTGTCATTTTTTAATATATCGGCATCGGCCGATATCCGTGTTTAGTAGCGCCGATTTAAAGTCAGGCACGTCCGCGGGCAGCCCCGTGTTATTGGTGCGGTGGAAAGTGCTGCTGCCGCATGTGAAGGACCCCAAGCCAAAACTTTTGGAAGATTCAACAACAGTCCTGGGAGATAAAAGCAAGGCTTAAATTCTGATATTTCAAAGTCCTATGGCCATATATTTACTATATATTACTAGTAAACTATGAAGTGTTGCTTCACTTAGTGAAAGAAAAAACGAATAGCATAGAACCGTCGGGAACTGGCATAATGCTACAGCTGGTTAAAGGTTCGCTTACTTGCAGTTAACTTTAAGGACTGTTGTCGAAAACTATCAGCAGCTTGCTTGCTAACATATTAGCCCCATTGTTATAAGTTCTGTTTTATTTTTCCTGTATCGGAGTCGGAGAATTTCACTCTGTGCGTGGGGTGGAGAAGGTGGCAGCTCTCCCAGATACAGATCCCCTGTAAAGACCTTGTCTCAGACGACCACCGGGACAAGACCACAGGAACCAGATGATTCCTCTGCACAATGTGACTTTGCTGCAGCCTGAAATTGAACTGCTGGTTTTGTCTGGCAGTCAAATTCCTGAGAATGAGAGCTTTCTTGTGATATATGACTTGACTATGTAGATTATTTCATTGTGTGACAATCACAGAGCGAATGATCTTCAATAGAATCGCGATGTGAAATTTCACACTTCTAAGCAAATTTTCGTATTGGTTACATTCCTACTCGTAGCACTACTTCAGTCAGTGTGCTCCGCAAACAGCCACACATATCTATATACTCTATAATACCTTTTGGATTAGGATCTCTTCTTTCAAACAAGACCATTTTCACGTTTCTGCGTGCTTCCATCGGTGAGATATATAGTGTTTTGTCCAGATGCGCAACAGAAGCGCACCAGATAAAAAAAGACGCTCTTTTGGCAAACACGCGCTCTCCAAATCATAGCAGCTCTGGCCAGCGGCTCTTATGTTCTACAACACTGGGCTACTCTGGGCTGCTCAGTGGGCCTCAATAGGTCAGATTATACGCCACTCAAGCGCGCCGGGCCACTCAGAGCCGTGAAATTTGACACCTCTGTGTCAATAGACGGGGAGAGAGAGGATCCGGGTCGGCGCTGGAGCTGTTATGAGCGTGGGTCTTGTAGTTTTTCTTTGACTGTTTTGAAGGCGATAATGCAGCTGGAAAGCTAACACATCGGCGGCTCGGATAATGGCATCTATGAACATTATAATGACAGTTATACATGATGAAGAACGTTCAGCGGCGCGGTGGAGAGGAGAGGACGCACGTCTGGTGAGCACATATGAGCGCTTTTGCTCCGTTTTTGATAGAATCATTATTTTGAAACGTAAAAGCACAGCTAACGCAAACGATGTATTGACAGTAAAGTACAGTACAGTACAGGATGCGTTTCAGTAAATATACATGGATATTATTACAGTGCTGTGTTTATAAAACGCTATTTCTTTGTTTCACATTCTGAAGCCCAGATAGCAGCTGCGAGCTCATGGCAGAAGCAGTTAGCTCGGAGCTAGCGGCGCAGCTCACGTCTGATCTCCAGGCAGGATGCTGATGCTGAGGCAGGCAGGATGCTGATAGAGGTAGGATGCTGAAGCAGAGGTGATGTAGGGGACAGGGGACTAAAATTATGAACATAAATGGAATGATATAAAGCTGGAGGATGTGTATTCTGTTTTAGATTGTAATAAACCACATGGATTTTACAATTTATGGAGCCTGGTGTCTCCTGAAAGAAAAAAACTGATTGTATAAAACACAAAATTTTATATTTGGTATAATTCGCTTATGCCATTTTGTATATTACTACTTAGACAAACATACAAATTAAACATAATTCAGTCAATAATTAAGAAAAGTGCTATGGCACATAGGATTCTGGGAGCAATATGATTTATAAAACCTATTTTGCAAAGGAAACTCACAAAAACACTTTTAGACGCAAAAAAGGGACAATTTTACTCCCTTTGGTTATAATTCAATAACTCCTGTTTAGAAGCTGTTATGTGAAAGATTATTTTTTCTGGCACATCTTGGCACCTAGTGGAATCAAACAATATAGGTTGCAGAGAGCTGGAGCAAATAGAACCTGAATAACAGGAGCTTTTTGATTTTTTTTTTTTTTTTTGAAAGTCCATGTTTTTTTTGTGTTTATTGTAATATTTAAAACGTATATAATGTTATTTATGAAGAATTACAACCATATTTTGTAGTTCAAAGGGTTTTCTATACAATGACACCATTTTCTTTTTTCATTTCCTCCATTGTATTTGTGTAGGGTAAACATTTGAATTTGGGCATGTCAAATTTAGGTGAAAATACACAAAAACGCCCCTGAGCTTACTTGAAACAAACAAACCAAAATACAGTATACAATATAGAGTCAACCAATGTATCTAAACCAATATGTACTCAATCGAATAATTTATAAATGTATTTATAAATTAATGATGACTAACCCACCATGATGACTTTAACAAGACAATTTTCCAAAAATCCCAAACCTTTCATTTTTTTTTCTAATTTCTATTCTATTTTTTTCTTATGGTTAGAGAGTCAAACTTGTAATCCGAAGGTTGTGGGTTTGAGTTTCAGGTCTGGCAGGGATTGTAGGTGGGGGGAGTGAATGATCAGCGCTTTCTCCACCCTTAATACCACGACTGAGGTGAGTCCCTTGAGCAAGGCACCGAACTTCCGTGAACACACATGCGTGCGCCACAGCAAAAGCGCGGCTACCCACTGCTCCTGGTGTGTGTTCACTACTGTGTGTGTGCGCTTGGATGGGTTAAATGCAGAGCACAAATTCTGAGTATAGGTCACCATACTTGGCCACATGTCATGTCCTTTCCTTCCTTTGCCTATTTTTCCCATATATGGAAATGTAATATTTAATATATCATATTATATTTTCTAGTATATTTTCATATATTTTTGTTTCAGTGTGCATAGCCTTATAAATTAGCTGTGTGTGTAAATAAGCATTCTGCTCGACACATGTTTGACTGCTAGTCAAATAGTTTTACACTGGAAGCTGAAAATGTGAGACATTTCTTTGTTTGTAGACTGGTTCTGCTGTGCCCCTCCAGAGTGGGAAGCATGGGCATAGCTTCCCGAGAGCTCATTTGCTTAATTTAATTAATTAAAACACACCAGCACACGCACACACTCACACACAAACACACAAATTAAATAATATTTGCATAGGAAATTACATTAATAGAAAGAAATCTTTATCACTTCACTAGATTATTCATCATTCTAATACATCTAATAATAAAGCTGCAACTTGGCTTATTTCAATTACCACAGGTTTTGTATTTCTTTTGGAACTCATTGATCATAGGTCTCATTATTCGGACCTTATGCACCTCAGCTTTTGAGTGAAAAGAAAAAAATATATATTTTTGGATAATTTTGGCAATATTAAATAAAATATGAACAAAAAATGCACAGTAGTGCGTTATAATGCTTAACCAAAAAAAGCAAGGGTTAAGGGACAAAAGAACCAAATGTCAATATTCTTTTTTTTTGCAATGTAGGCCCTCTAGTGGTTAATAGTAGATGGTATGTAAAAACAGGGGTAAACATTGTGAAATTTCCTGGTTTGGTGGAATTTGACCGACTATTGGGAATTATATATATATATATACATATAATTCCTAATAGTCGGTCAAATGGTATGTAAAAACAGGGGTAAACATTGTGAAATTTCCTGGTTTGGTGGAATTTGAGCGACTATTAGGAATTATGTATATATATATATATATATATATATATATATATATATATATATATATATGTGTGTGTTTTTTTAAATATATA